AGCCCTGTCCCACTGGACTGGAGGGGGCATTCGCTGCCTGTCCCGACGGGCCCAGTCACCAGCTCCCTCCCAGCCTTTGCATTTCCTCCCATTGTACCAAAGATTATCAGCGCATGGTCACAACAATGATGGGTTATCGCAGTACAGCCTGCACGCTGGGGAGAGTAAGTGCAAATGATTAAGTGGCCACAGTAGATTTCCAGGCTATAAATACCAAGTGACTCGAAATCACGACGGCAGAACTGAATCTCTGTTTACCCCCACTTCCCTACCATTCTCTGTCCTTTTTACTTGGAAATTATTTGTAGCCATTTCCTCTCTCCATCTTGCCCCTCCTCAGTGAAGGGGCTGTCAGCGCTCTGAGGAGCACGCCGAAGCTGGCATGTCTGCCCTGCGTTTGCAGCAAGGCTGCAAGGAAATATTTATTGTTGCTTCCAGCTGTCACACTGTCTGGCCAAGATCCTGCTGTGCAGTGTGAGGCAGTCACTGCCCCACATCGCTTACAGTCTCAAGACACAGCAGCAGGGAAATGGAGTCTTACACAGGGACAGTGACTGCCCCATGGTTACAGCAATTCAGGGCCAAAGCGTAAGCTCCTCTGTGTTTCCCAGGCCCTTGATCTCAGTCTGTGTCCACTGCAGGGTTGTAAGTTTGATACCTGATGCTCCCAAGTGCATTTCTGACAAGCTCACTCTTTAGCTTTTGACTTCATTTGGGCTCTGAAGGGGGCCCTCAAAACAGTGGCCCTGCTGGGATTTAGCTCAAGGATCTTCTGCTCACAATCTCTGGGCCATCCCTGGACATCTGAAGAAAGATTTGCACAGGAATAAAAGCTCTGCTTTCACACTGGCATGAACTCTAATCAAAGCTGGCAGAGATAATTATCGGAGCAAAATCAGGTTAGGTCTAAGGTGGATTTTTTTCTTCAGAGCAGTCTGTACCCTAAGAGCTCTGCAGGTTTCCTAGCTATCAAGGAGCTCCATTACTGCTGGGTTATCGGCGGACTGAACCCCAGATCGCCGCCTTCATCTCAGTGGTCAGAGGAGAGACCACAGAGGAGCACCTCTGCTTTAGCTCTACAGAGATGTTCGAGGAGCCTCCGGCCCGCTGAGCCCCATTCCTTCATCCAGCGGCGGAGCTTTCCTGTGCAGGGGCCTGTTGACGTTTGACAACGCCATGACAGAGCCCAGCCAGACGGTTCCCTGGCCCCCACTGCTCCATCCGGCGGGGCCGTATCCCAGCTGGACTGCCCCGGCGGGTGTCGGAGCGGATAAACAGCACCCGCGCGGCCTCCGGCACGGCCCACGAGCGCGGGGGCTCGCGAAGACGAGTCGCCCACAGGATATCTGAGCGCATCCTGTGCGGAGCAGCTCCAACCGGGCTTTGCGCGCCGCGGAGGATATCCTATTTGTCTGGCAGAGACAAGAGATAGCGGCTGTCTGAGGTTGCTGGCTGTTGTGCGCTGACATCCTGGCGCGGTGAGTCAGCCTGGGCTCTGGCACGGAGCAAGCACGGCGGGACCTCCCCTCCCTGCTCAGGGGACAGCCTTCCACAAGGACTTCGACCAAATGCCAGTGAGCTGAAGCCAGCAGCCGGATGTAGCGTGAAGAGTTTGCCATATTTAGATGTGTTTTTCCTGGAGCAGGAGACTCACAAAAATGAGAAAGAGAAGAGATGCCTGGATGCTTTTGCCTCACCAATGCTCAGCCACCTTGTTACATCTCCTTTCCTCTCACAGAGGAAAGCCTTGACTCCCTCTGCTCTTCTGCATCCCATCCATCCTCCCTGCTTATTTTCATCTTTCTCATTTATCCCTTTGCTGCTCTTCAGAACGGTGGCTCATGTTGCTGGTCTCATCTCTTTGACAAGCTTTAAAACAAAGCTTGTCTTGGAGCTGACACCTGGTAGCCAGGAGCCCCTGCAGATCTGCACAAGCACAGCACATCGCCTTGGTCAGATCCTTTGGGGGTGTGACTTGCTTGCTTCATGTCCCCACCAACATCACCAAGACTGTCCTGACATCACTGGTGTTGGAGCAATCGGAAACCTGCCTGTTAGCACTGGTGGAGAAGCTCAGCCATGAATTCTGCTGGAGGAGTTGGACAGGGAGGACCATGTTCTCACCCCCTTTCACAGCTCATGTTCTGCTGAATGTCTGGATGGAGAAATTGCCCGGAGAGGCCAAGTGGGTATCAGAAGATGAGTAGTGTATCCACAAACTAATAGGGTATTAAGTGAATGTTCAGGTCACCAAGACCTGCGTCCTGTCCTGTATGCTAAAGAGGAAAGGGCATGTACGATTGCCTTGGCTTTAAAATTAAACCAGCAGCGTCAACTATAGAAATAGGCCCCAATTCAGCAGGTTCCTGATGGCCACAGGTAGCCCTGTGCTTGCTACCTGGTGTGTTTTCACAACCATTGGGACACCAAGTGGTTCTGCAGAAGTGTGTGTGTTAAAATGCAGAGTTTGGTAAATCTTTGCACAACAAATGGGGAGGAGGCTGGATAATAATTTTCACAGAAAGGTTCAAAAGCCATAGAGGGAAATTACGTATTTCATCAATATTTCTCCTGTTTACTGCATTAGGAATTAGCCCTAATTGTGGGAGATAAAATACCTGAGAAAGTCTCCCAGTCAACCATTTCTGTTGCAGCAGGGGTCCCTTGTGTTAGGACTGGTCTTTCAGGACTGATTTTGCTCTGTTGGTGATCCCCTTTGGAAGGCACTGGGCAGCCATGACTCAGTGAGCATCATATTTAATAAGGCTGATTTAAGACAGTATCTGCTTGATTTGTTTGGTTTGTGCTGGTCTTTGATTATTTCTTTGGTTGTTTTTAGGGCCTTTTTATATGTTCTGACATTTTTGGGTCAATTGCCACTGGGTTTAGAAGCAGGTCTGTGGTTACAGCCTCGCTCAAGGCTGGATTAATACATATTTATAAATAAAGAACCTCTAATGGAAGCTGTAGGCACCCCAGCAATACAAAGCACTGTTCCCTGCTCCTTTACAAGTATCTCACACGGGTGTGATTCTCTTGACTGATCAAGTTTCCCTTTGCTTTTCACCTGTGAGAACAAGCAGAGAATCCAACCCATAAAAAGCTAATAATACACCCCAAAATAGTTCAGCTTTTAAATTAAAAAAACCTAGCTAGAACAGAGCAGTTTCTGAAGGTGAAACTTCAGGGAGGTCTGAAGAAATAAATAAGTCCTGCAGGATGCCCACGGGATCATCCAAGTTAGGTAAGATCAAGCTAAAAAAATGCAGCGTCACAAGCCATGAACGGAGTGCCCTGTCCCCTGGCCTTTGAAGCCTCGCCACACTAGAAGAGTTTGTGATACAAAAACACGCTTAGAAAAGGTTCATTTGAACTGGTTCGTTAGTGCCAAGGAGTGGTTGACTTCAGTTTCAGCAGTGATCCCATTGCTTAACTCCGAACATGACAATGCCCCTGCAGATCTCCCCCGACTCCTTTGCTTGCTGGGAGGGGTGAAAAAGATGGCAAAGTGTGGACTCAGTGGCCACTGCCACCGACTGCATCAGGGCTGAGACCTGCGTGGTTCTCACGCAGGGTGAGCGCAGCTGGAGCAGATGCCGTGAACTGTCTGTGCTTGATTTGGGTCCGTACCAGCTCAGCCAGAAGCCGTTCGTTTTCTTTTTGTCGGCACACCCCAAATCAGCAGAGGCGTCTGGCCAGGGTTTCGGCTACTCGTGTGCTTTTAGATGTTTCAGCATCTATGTAGCTGCAGCGGCAACCCGCAGTGCAAAAACGAATAGCTTTTAAAATAAATCCGAGGCTGGTGTGGAGGTAGGGAGCAGAGAGAGGAAGGAAAGGGGAAGAGCAGCTGAAAGGAAAACGTAGGCCATAAAAGTTGTCATGAAAAAAAAAAAAAAAAAGGGTTGAAACATCTGCTGGAATCATGACCAACTTTTTACCGGGACTCGGCAGTTTGTTGGCAATTCGGTGAAGAAATTCAGCAGTTCAGCTTTTGCTAGTCACTGCTCACCGGGGTTACTACTAAGAATTACTAAATGCTAGAGAGGGCTTTCCCTGCCAGTGCAAATACAAGGCTCCTGTAGGAGATCCTGTCAAGTTCTTGCAGCACAGATGTATTTGCAGAATTGAGTTTTGTTGCTCTATGAGGGCAAAACCAAATGAACTGAGGATGACTACAGCAGCTAAACAAACATCTTACTGTGAGGTTGTCCTCCTTTATCTGATGATGCTCAACCTGGCTGACCTTTAGAGAGCCCTTTTTCCACCTCGCCCACTTCAAGACAGCCCAATGAAAGGTGTAACAAAGCAGGGTGGCATTTCACAGAATAAGTGCCAGCTGTCTGCAGAAAACTGCAGAAAATATTGGTGGAAAAGATCTGTGAGATTCTAGTCCCACTGGGCCAATGCAGAACTGTTTCATGGCATTGTTTGACTCAGTCCTCTTTCAGTTTAGCTTTAACAGTCTGCCGGAATAGTAGCAGTGAAAGATGAAATTGAAAGCACAAATTTCACTCTGTTTTGCTGTCAAAACAAAGAGTTGTTCTCAGGTTTCTTCCAGAGCTCTGGGAAACGGCAGCAACATTTTCATCCTCCTTAGGCTGAGTGTTCTAACTATACACTTGGCCAATCTAGAAGCCCTCTCTCACATCTGTCCTAAAGGTGCACAGAAAATTCCATGTAGCATCCTGTTGTGTCTGAGTCCTGCAGATAATAAAGGTCTGCTTTCGCTGTGGCATTGCTCTAGAGGGGCAGGGGAGACCCCCAGAGTCACTGGGGGGAACCACTGAGGACTAGGAGGAACCCCTTTGAATGCATTGCCGAGTCAAAGGCTTTTCTGCAGGCATAAACCTACAGTAACCTACAAGAAGTCCCTACAAAGCACTGGGCACAATCCAGCTGTCTAAACATAGGTGTCTGGTGCCGGTTTAGGTGGGTTAGAGTATCCCACTGCCCGTCTGAAAGCGTGTGGGTCTCACAGGGTCCTGTATGATATCTGCCACCCCATGGAAGACATCTCAGATACCTCAGATCACCTAGACACTTCTGTTGAGGCAACAGCAACCCCTTAGGCACAGCAGCCCTGTCTGCTCTGTGCAGCTCAAGACCCACCATGGAGTTTTACTAAAAAGGGATCACATGCAGACTTAGGCTGAGCTCCAGAGCGGTGTGTGGGGCAGAGCATTAGAGTGTGTGGAGCTGTAGCTCTCGCTGTTGTCTGTGGACAGACGGGGAATGCTACTGCTGAATCTACCACAGATACCAGAACTCAGCTTTCCATAAACCTAAGGTGGATGCTTTGAACTACAGCTGTAGCTGAACAGCCAGTAATATGAGTGAAAAGCCTGCAGAGATAGCATCTACCCCTTCTTGAGCTTGCTTTTCATCTCACATTATGGCCATAACCTTCATGTCCTTACTCTGTGATGAAAGGATGCACTCGGCTTATGCAAACAAAGTGATTAGAGCGAAGCAGTGACTTCACCATAAACTCATCCCTGAGCCCAGAGGTGTATTAAAGAGGGCAAAGGCTAGGCATATCCTGAAAAAATCAGCTGCTGAAGTTGGGGACCCAAAAATGGATGCAACAAATGTTGCCCCTTCTTTGAGATGCTGGATCTTAGATAGCAATTGATGCGCCATCCTGAACAAAAGTAAAATCAGGAATCTCATCAATAAGTTCCCCTGAAGAGCTGAAGTTACAAATGCTGTCATGACATCTGAGCAACAGAGTCTGCCTTAATGCATGGACTTACTTCAGTGGAAATTGCTGGGTAATTGACACCTGAACAGTCAAGCCATTTGAACAGTTTAAGTATCTTGACCTACATCTTCACAAGAAACAGTTACTATCCCAGAAGGACCTACGGGTTATTGTTGTTTTGGTGTGTTTTACAGGAATCTTGCTAGGTAATTTTGTTCCATTACGTTTTTTCATAGAGCAGGCACTGTAAGTGGATTGAATTAAATGTTTGCTACTAGGATAACTGCAGTTCTTAAGACGCAGGCTGTATTGTTAAATGGTTTCTCCTAGACTTAATATCCAAAAAATGCATCTCCAGGGCTTTGTAAACTGTACTGTTATTTGCCATTGGGAACTTTCATGGGGATCATATGTCTTTTTTTTTTTTTTTTTCCTAGGATCTTTACATGAATAGTTTCGTTGCTTTTATTTTTCTGGATAATGATTACAAATGTGTTTGTGTGCCCCACTGTCCAATCTCTGTCTGTTAGCTTAAACCTTAAGAATTTGCCGTAAACAAACATGACTGGGTAACACCTGCTTCATGTCATAGTCTGATTTCTTTTTGAGAGGACTGCATCCAGGCTTTGGTAAAATTACAAGTGCTCCAGATGTGTATTCTGCTGTCAGATGGCCTAGTGAAATCATTGTTTATTGATAGGTTCCCAAGAGTCAGATAGTTCTCAGTCTGCCAAGAAAGACATGCTGGCTGCACTGAAATCCAGGCAAGAAGCTTTGGAAGAGACACTGCGCCAACGCTTGGAAGAGCTAAAGAAACTGTGTCTCCGAGAAGCGGTAGGCAATGGACGTTTTATAACCTGTGTTGCTTGCTTTGTTATAGCAATCTAGTTGTTTGGAGGTGGTGTGGAGTCAGGAGAAGAGATTCCTTCCAGCACCTCTTAAAAAGCACATTGTACAAAGGCCTCAGGAAGGTCCCAACTGTTTCGACTCCAGATTGCAATGTCACAGGACATTTCCCCCCCAGAGAAAAAGACCCCATGTCAACTGGGTACCCAGTTGGCTTGGGGCTAGGAGGGTGCTCAGCACCCATGTCTGCTGTTTGAAATTGTGTTTAAGATCCATTCAGCCAGGCTTCTTATTGACTTTGGTGCTAATATGCAGCTACCTAAATGCATAGCAAGGCTGTCCTGTGTACTGGTAACCACTTCTCAAGTGCTTTTGACTTCGTTAGCAAAAAAAACATCAGGCTGATACACTTTCTTCTTGGAGCCAGCCTGACCTTACGTGATTTTCTTCTCCCAGCACATTCTTACATACAGCACGCAAAGTCTTATCTGTTCCATGTAGACTCCCTTCATCCAATAAGCTCTGGCACTCCTGGAAAGGAATGACAGTTTGGTGGCAGACCTTGTGAAGAGGAACCACTGTGGTCATGCCAGGACATGCAGGACAGCTCAGGAACTCATCTCATAACCTACCCATTCACTTGCCAGTTCATTGTTGGGAGTATACAGAAGGCCAGTTTAGAGATCAATTTAATGTTTGGGGAAGCCACAACCCTGCTGCAGATGTGAGTGGATATTAGCAGCAGCATACGCTTGGGTCAGTCAGCCATTCTCCTTTGTGTACCAGGCCTGAAAATCTGAATTTAACAACAAATTGTGATGTGTAACACAGCAGGAAGCTGGCTGCAGACAGTAGCACCGAGTTCTTCCAGTTGTTGCTTAATATTTGATGTGTATCTTGCCTTTGAGAAGAATGGGGGAAATAGGTCACTGATTCAGCTCTCATCGCACTTTGTTTCAATTCGTCTATAGTTTTAACGCCAACAAGAATAAGTTGTGGAAAATACCTCTCAACAAAGAAAGACAGCAGAAATCTCTGCTGCCCCAGTTCCTGTCCTTTACTCCACACCGAGCAATCCTTTCTCACTGGGAAGTCCTGGTTGACTTCAGCAAACAACGTGTGCTAATAAAGGTCACAGGACCAGATCCAGTCTTGTAAATCCATCGAGTACAGAGCGAAGATCACCTGCAGGAAGCAGTCACATGCTTCTCGGGGGCTGATGGACGAGGTCTGAAGGGCTTTGCTTACCCTGGAGGAATTTACCACGCTAAGCTAACACTGCCTGACTGCCGATGACATGGCCCTGAAGGCAGGGGAAGATGTGCCTGTGTCGCATTTGCAGGAGCTCACAGCCCAGTGCCTTCGCTTTGACCCCAGCCCTGTCTGCGGTGCAGCCTTGGGCGCTTCACAAGCAGCCGGGATGCAGGCAAAAGCTCCCGCTGGGGCCTGGAGCCAGTGGTAAGGAGCGGTATCTCCTTAATGGCTGCAGCAAGGCTGGCCAGAGCCCATCTGTCAGCACCTTAAGAGCTGGTAGAAAGTGTTCGTGCTTTCTATAGATGATCCAAGAGAGGCAGTTGATGGACACTTGGAATCTGACGCCATCTTGCAATCTTGCTCATCCATCAGCAGCCTGTAGTTGGAAGTATTTCCTCTAAGGCTGCCCTTCATCCTTTCTGCTGTGGCATGGGAATGGCCAAAACAGGAGAAGGCAGCAAACCAGGAGATACAAAAAGGGTTAAAAGAGGGGGCATAATCAAATAAGCATGGCCAGAGCTATTGGTAACAGTGGCATCAGGTTACTTCGGGCCATCACTACTCCAGTTACTTATTAATTTAGATTACATTTCAGGACCGTGCCTGTGAATACTTTTCAGCTTATGGAGGCAGCAAGGTAGCCCGCATTCATTTTGTTCTGCTCCAATCTTGGGCATTTTACAGAAGGTATTAACT